TGTGGGAGGAATAAGGGAAACAGAAAATCACTCTTAGACAAGCACCAAAGTAATAACAGTTGCAGGCAAGGCCCATCAGTGGATGCTAAAATCAGTGGACAAAAGTATGAGAGAAACAAAACATCTGCACAGTCTCAAAGCATTACTCCATAAGATACTTACTAATTACAAAGGGAAAATCACTTTACAATTAAGATTGTATACACAATCTTAACCAAGCAGTCAAAATTAAGCATACTAGCAGCAAGACATATGAACATCATGTACTCCCTGATGTGATGCCTGAAAATGGTACAATACCACTTCTATCTTATTCTTGGGAAAAAAATGTGTTTCTTGCTCTAATAAAGAGAAAACATTAGACAAACTTATATTGAGTGACATTTTACAAAATAACCAGTGCTATCTTTAAACATGTAATAATCATAAAAGACAAAGAAAGACAGGAACTGTCACAGGTCGGGAAGACTCAGAAGACAGGACAACTTGATGCATTTTGCATCCTGGATTGGCTCCCGGACCAAAAGAAGGGCATTTATGGGAAAACTGGCAAAACTCAAATAAGGTTTGTAGAACAATTAACAGTATTGTGACAATGTTAATTTTCTGTAGAATTTTAGTAAATTTTCTGTAAATCTAAATTTGTTTCAAAATAAAAAATTGATTTTTTTAGGGGGGTTTCCAGTGACATATTTTATTAAATACCAAGAATATAAATCAGTGCAATTTGTTTTAGATGGACTTTTAATATAATTACATAAATAACTCTCTATAAACATATATTTAAGCTATTTTTTCTATACAATGTATTCATGAGTTTTTTTTAATGCAACTTTTGTAAGTATGAGATCTTACCATTACACCCATTACAAAAAAATGACTCGTTTTGGCTAGCTATTATAATTTTCCTATTAGGAAAGATTATCAAATTCAGAATCTCAAAACCCAACTCTTATAGTGCATACTGGATTGCAGAGGACATAACAAGAAAACGAGTCAATAAATGAAAACATACTTGCTAAAAACCATGTGGCAAACTGTCCACAAAGAGATATGCCTCTAAAAAGACATAAAGCAATGATCATACAGCAATGGCCCACAAATAAACAAAACAACTTGAAACACAAAATGCCAAGAACTGGACAAAACCAACTGAATCAATATGTGATAAGATCATGACTTGATGAATTTCTGTGGCCAATTTTTATGAGTCTATCAAGAAAGGCTTTTCATTAGGTAAAGGTTGAATTGGTTCTGGTACATACCCAGATTTCAAGTCAGTTATCCTCAAACAGTTTGTAGCATCCAGTCCCACTTTTCCATTGCGGACCACACTAGATATGAATGGGGAGAGCATTGGAGAAATTCGGTTCAAGGCCACTTCTGGGGACATTTTAACTTGACTTGCAAATCACCACTGAAAACAGAAGAAAAGATTGATGATCGGAGTATCCAAAAGAACTAGCTCTAAAAAGTTTCCTGAAAACTGGCACAGCACACTCTTGCATGAATGAAGACCTCATTTTCTGTTTTACAACAGCCTCTTCCAATAAAACCATCTCCCTGCTACTCACCTACTTAGGACAGAGACTGTAACATTGATTTTCAGGAACAGAAGCAACCCTCGAAATCCAATTCCCTCCTCCTTTCCAAAGCTGATTTCTACACTACCAAACTCTACTTAAAACTATCCCATTCTCTTACAACTGGCATGTTCCACTTCAACTGAGGCCTTAAGAAGCCTTCACTGACAATCTTCTCCCTCTAACACACATACACTAGGTTAGAAATCCTCCGTGTCCCCATAGGAAGTAAGACCTTGACTGACAATACTACATAAAATCCTGGAACAAATATAACCTGCTTGCAATTGTGACTTACTAGAAATTTACTTCTGATATACCCCTATTAATAACTGTCCCTCCACAGTATATTATAATTACATACTTAGTGATCTATCCTCTGGAAAGAAATCACAAACTAAACACCCAATAAACATTTTTAAATAAATAAATGAATAGAGAGACAAAAGCTATATGAATATTTAGGTATGAAGAGAGGTAATATGCCCTCAAAAATTTTAGTAGAGGATAGTGTATCTGAGGACTAGATGTAGCAAAATCTACTTAAACAATTAAATCATGAAAACACACTTATCCAGATATTCAGCAACACAAACTAACATGGATGTAAAAGTCTATGACTATAAGGCACTAAGAAGTTCTCACACTTGAAAATACAAAAGTAAAACCAATAAATCATATCTAAATTACTTGGAAACCCATAGGGCAGGGGAAGGGAGTACGTGAATTCCTCTTAATAGATTTCTAAATGAAAGCCTCTATTTTCAGAGGTGAATAAGTCAATTTAAATGATCATTTTCTTCCTCAATCTGAATGGATAATCCCACATCAAAAGCAAACTAATTTCCTGCAAGTTACAAGTAAATGAGGTTCTGGTTCTAGTTTCCATATATTATGCCATATGAGAACTTACATGTCCCTGCTAAAATAAATGTTGAAAACTAGTACCTATTTTAATCATTTCAGACAGTAATAAAGAGAACTGCAGTGATCTTTCAAAAAATATCAACACTGTAACCCTATATTGGATGATACCCAGAAGTACTGTTGAGGCAGTAAAAGCTTTATTTTTAATACCCAAATCATCCTTTCTGAAAATATAAAACAAACTCCTCTTCCAACCACTTAACAGATGAAGTCCTTCCACCATTCCAATATGTCATCACAAAGTAAGAATAAACATCTAATGCATGGTATTATCATAAAAATCATGTGCATTATTATAACACCTTATCACTTATAAAGAGTTTCCAAGTACGTATTGCACTTGATCTCCACAATCCTGGGCAGTAAAATGGTATTGGAATTTCCACTTTACAGATGACACAAATAACTTTTATAATTGGTCTTTGAAAAGTATACTAATCCATGTTATCATTTTAAAGCCTATTTTTGTCTATTCTGCAACATTTCCACCTTTTTTTTCTATCCACTGATGTCACAGTTCTCGAAAGGATGCTTATCTAGATCATAGGCAAATACAAAAATACTTATCACGGAAAAAAGCAAAAGAATCTCACCTACATTACAAAACCATTCTTCCATGTTTTCCCCCATAATACCTATCATTATTATATCTTTCACTTCTATGAAAAAGGGAAACAGAACCAACATATTCTGAACGTTTCCTCAACATCAAATGCTATATTACCCACCTCTATCTGTAATTTCATTCACTTCCCCCGAACAACCCTCTGGGTAATATTGTCCTCTGGGTAATATTGTTTCCATTTCACAGATAAGAAAACTAATACTCAACAAGACTAAGTAATTTGTTCAAAGTCATAAACCTAGCAAGTAGAAGGATTAGAATTCAAATCCAGATCTCCCTCAAGGTCCACTATTCTCATCCTCCCTCAAATAAGCATTTATAAGTTAAATCCCAAAGTGAAAAGCATCGAAATGAATTTTTTAAGTATATATCTAAAATTTACACAAAATGTCATGAATTTAAACTCATGGTTGCTTTACAACTAGAAACAAATTAGACTACTGCTGGCCGATTGCTGAAGTTGGTCTGAGTGATGCACTAGTCAAATGCTAAAATGAACAAACCTGCTTCAGAAGCCAAACTAAAGGTGACAACAATCCATTCCAGTTCAGCAACTGTCATGACCTTGGAATGACACCTGAAGGAATGAATTTCTGTCTTTGTTTCCAGAGCAGCCATAATACTATTTTTTGACAGTTCAAGATTTCATGCAGCGTTAAAATGTTTCTACTGTGATGTGTTGTGACTTCTCTAAAGGAGGAGAAAAATACTCCAAAATCAGAGGTCACAGAATAACCAGAGATGAGGGTCCTTTGGTATAGTCCTTTTGAGCCAGGGACGTGGATGGGGTATCATCCCCCAGCAGTAGCTTTTATACATTGCAGCGCTGAATCAAATCCCAGATTCGTAACAATTTATGGTGGCCAGACTCCCTTGAATGCTAGCTAGGTAATCTGCATTTCCTGATTTTGACATATTACAAAAGGAAAATGTAGAAATACAATTCTTACAGGGTTCTGCTGCCCTAAAATAAGGTCACATGAGGCCCTTTGATGGGCTGCCTGGGGACTACAAAGACGTCTAAAGCATCATCCAGTTTCTTGCAATTAAGATGAGATGACAAACACGGAAACATGTGCCCTGCTGACGTCATGGAACGGAAAGGGGTGGCGTCCTGCTGCGTCACGTCAACGTCATACAGCGCACGAGGGAAGTTACACTCGGGAAGTAATTTCTCCAAGGAGCAACATTCAAGAAAAACAAGCCGGCTCAGACCCAAAGAATGACCACCCCACTCTAGGAGATATCTAAAAGGGGAAACTCTCCCTTCTCCCAAAATGTATGATCCCCTCAACAGGCGGGAATGAGAAAGGAGTCTGAGCTTGATCGGGAACCAGGGGACGAACTAGATAAGGAGAAAGAGCAATTTCTGGCCTTGGGAGCTCGTTCTTTAGGGGACCAGCGAGATGGGGATGAGCAGGGCATCTTTGGAATGAGGGCCTTCTCTATAGGAAGGGAAGGCCCTGGAGATATTTAAACCACGGTCCTCAGCGCCACCTGTGCGACTTGGGATCCAACCTCCCCTCACCAGCCCCAGTCTTGGTACCTGGAACTTAGTCCGTTCGGTAACCGGCGACTACGTGGGGTACAGGTTCCCCGAGCGCGCCCCCGACCGACGCACCGACCTGCGCGCGCACCGC